AACCATAATCAGGTTGTTAAGAAACCAATCATTTATCCCAAATGATCTGACTTTATTTTGGAGTTCAAACCCAAAGTGAGTGCAAAAGTTTGTTAATAGTCCCTTATCTGTGCACAGAGCAAGCAGTAAAAATAGATGGCCAAAAACAACAAAAATGAGGACCCAATTTAAAAATACAAGTTATAGCTCCAGACCTGACACATAGGCTATATGTTGTAACTTTTCCTCTTTGGTGTCAGCTCTTTGACATCACCTTGGTTATTCAGTGTGCAGCCGTCTGTAGGAGTCCATGTGTGAACTCCTGTGCCCCCAGAATGCAATTTCCTGTTTATATGCAGACAGGTGCAGCTGTCTCGCATGGTCCAGGAGGAAATGCTGGGCAGCAAAAAAACATGTCTTGAATTAAAAAAGGCTCATACAGTGGTTACTTGACCAAAACACACTGTGATGTATCTTGAGCTCGAAACATGCTGACATGCATGTCTTTCCCATAAAACATTTGACTTTTTTTTATTTTAAAGTATTTATTTATATCCCAGCATTGTTTAGATCCAATTATTTACTAGCTTTTTCAATCTTAATGCTGGTTTTTGCTGCTGCAATCATGGCATGAACTGACAACTGAATCAGTTGGAATAGTGTGAAACCATTGCAAGAAATGTTTATTGTTTCGACAAGTTCCAACTTGGTTTGTGATTGCACAAGTAAACAAAGAAAAACAGTTCCATAGCTCTACCAGAATTCAAAAACTCCAACAGAGAAGCTTTAAATCTCTGGTGTGTAGGTTTTAGTGGCATTTTAGCACCAAATTCCACCAAGATGACTATGTTGTCCTCACTGCAGTGTAGCAACTGCAGCTAATACAACTAGCTAAACTCTTCCTCTCAAATGAAGACTTGAGTCGTAGTAAGCTTTTAGTTGGTCCTTTACTGTGGCTCTTTCTCCTCCCATTTTACAAGGTCAGAGTGAAAACTGTAACAAACACAAAGTATAAAAAATTACCAATTCAGCTCAGTAACATGTGGCTTTTTCTCATGTAATAAGTGTAAAATAAAACGTTTTTAAATACAAATAAATCAAAATGCCTTCTTCATGTAAATAATATTTTTTTATCACAACTTATGAATATAACTATGAAATTTATTCACTTACGTACGTTGCCCTCTGTGGCGTTTACAGTGTTGAATAACATGCAAGTTGAAAATGTAGATGTGTAAAGTCCGCAGCTAGCCTTGCTCAGACTACTGGCCAAAACAACGCTGTGAACCAGGAACTTTCCGCGCAAGACAAAGGCCCCCTTCAAAATAAGAGTCTCTTCAAATAAAAAGTCATTAGAATTTATGCCTGAAAGACAACACAATGACTGCGATACATTTTGGCTCAGCCCATTCTAGACAATACTCGAAAATTCCACCAGAAGCGCCACAAGTGTATCTCCACGTAGAATATAAAGCTGGTCAATTTTTGACAAAAGCCACAACCCACTCGCAGCAAGCAGGAAAGACCAGATGCACTGGCAGGAAGTCAAAGAAACAGTATAGGGAATGCAGATTCCTGAATTAAATTTCAAGCTACATGTTGGTCGAGGCAGACAACCACCCACCTAGAGCTGAAGGGTCTGTCCTAGGTTTCTGCCTATTAAAAGGCAGTTTTTCCTTGCCCCCGTCGCCAAGTGCCTGCTCATGGTGGTACTGTT